TTGTAGCTATGTGTAACCATGAGTAATAGCCTGGTATTTTGTTTTATAGTTATATTTATCATATGTATGCAATAAATATTTCACTGTTGATTTTTTTCCTCTAAAAGCTATTATAATTGAAAAATTATAAACTCTCGCACAAAGCCTCCGTAAGTCGAATTTTCATATGGTAACCCTCTTTTACTCGAATTTCGATAAGTCGAAAACTCTATAACTCGAGTTTTTCTGGTCCCTTAGATTCTAATTATCGAGGTTCGACTGTATTATTAAATTTATATTTGCTCTGTTTTTGTCTAAAGATTTAAACGAATTTGCCTATATTATTCAACATTGAATATTAGTACTGAATACTATTATAAATAAATAAATAAACAAGTAAATAAATATATTTCGCTTTCTTTCTTATGTTTCTGATGTAGTTAATTCCATCATTGCTTCTGCAAAGAGACATTTTGTCACGTTTTTATACTTAAAGTTTCGAACACTCATGTAAGTCCCGTTATTAATGCCGTGTTAGAAAAATTTCTACAATGACAATACTAATTAGTCATCATGCGATGCTCTGAACACGAATTAAGGCTCCTGTTTCCTCACAGTAGCCTTATCAATTTATGACGTGAATTCTTTCTTTATAATATATGTCGAAATAATTCATATATGTCATTCTCTGATAAAATATAATGGATAAAATATATCGAAAATTTCCTTGTATGTTATTCTCCATTAATAAATTTAATGTGTCTTATATTATGTCTTATAAAATTATGACAAAAAAAATAATCGTACTATTACACAAACAAATTGAAAATATAGTCTTTGGCATAATTTATCAAATTGTGTCTACCAAACATGCGTAAATAAAAGATATTATTTTATTTTTATATTTATTGAAAAAGAATATTAATTCCTACTTTCTTTTTATATTTCAACATGGCTGTATTAATTAAAGAGAAGCCTTAAATTATTTATTTAAAATATTTCATGCACATATTATTAGAACGAACGTATAAATTAAATAAGTGAGATAAAAAATTAAAAATAGTTTTCAATGTATTGTACTTTTAGTATCAAACGTACACGGTGACATAAAAATATTATTTTATTTGGACCTATTGAAAAAAGAATTTATATTTTCTTCCAATTGTCTTTTTAATTTAATTTCTTTCTCAATATAGCCGCATAAAAGAAGAATCTTTACTTGTTTAAAATATTTCACGTGTTATTAGAGCATAAATGAGGAGCAAAGAGATTTCTCCATTTTTCTTTTTTCAAAATACGAAGAACTATTTTGTTTAAAGAAAGCTCACAATTAGATTTCTAAAATACTGTATAATTTGCAAAACAAAGAATTCACGGTAAACTCGGTATTTCTATAGAAGTAACTGTAGTGGTGGGAATAGATGATAACGACAATGCAATTACGTTCGTTTCTACCGCACGCTTATTAGATAATTGCCGATTAGTCATGGGATTTCCAAGTTGACATTATCCGAAAATAATACTATTTGAATACTATATCGCGACTGCAGTGCCAATTAATTATTACTTTTCAATCATTTACCCACTGGAAAAAAATTAATCAGTTTAATCAAATGTTCAATTATGCAAATATTATTTAATCGAATATTCGTTTAGCTATACAAATGTGTCGTGTTTAGCATTCACCATATTCGCCACATATCGATTAATACGCATTATTCGTAATTATATAAATACGACAGAGTTGAATAGCTGCAATAATCAACAATGACAACGCAAGAGTCACGTTTAGATCACGAGAGCAGCATTCATTCTGAGAAGCATTTATTTTATCGTCTTAATTTGTCCTGTGGTAAGCCGCGGCTAAGTTTTAAGTACAGACGCCTGTGTGATGTCATGCCTGAATTATTTAATTTCTCAGTACAGTGCACACACAGAGGACAGACAGCCGTATATATTCCAAGAAAGATTCTTTCATCGAGTGGAGTTTTATCGGTCATTATGATGTCACTGAATGCCGAAGAAGAAAGAAAGAAAGAATTTTACAACCGATGGACTATAATTACTTAATGACGATAATGAAACCATGATTACTTATTATTTTAAATTGTATCAAATGTTTGGAAATTTTTTCAGCAAAATATTTTAAAAATTTACTTCACTGCTTCTTTAAGTAATGAAACATATTTTTTATTACACATGAAGTACATGGATTATATTATAGAGATTAGAAATACATAGAAGGATAAACTTCAAGTGCACGTAAATAGAAATTATTTTATAATTATTTTTATTCAGTAGAAGTTTTTAATAAATTTTAATAAAATTAACTTCAAATCTAATAATTAAAGTATTTAAAATGAAAGAAGAGAAAGAGCGGAATATATCCGTAATTAAAAAATAATAATCTGCAAATATAATTACGGCTGATTACTTTAGAAAAATATATTTTTCTGCTTTGATAACATCTTTTGTTGTTAATAAATTAATATGAATAGATAACCTATATAATAAATCTAGTTATGTTAGAAATATTATTGCAGACGAGCCTTTGTTTAGTCAGTTTAGTGCAACTTGCAGTTGCACAGTGTATTTTTCAAGTTTATTGTTAATTCGAGCAGAGTAAGCGTAACTGGAAGCCTGCAGGCATGGTCAGTGCGAAGTTCTTAATTATGACTGTCATTGTGTTTATTTCTTCACCTTGCGGTCTCTCTTGGTTCATCTTGCGCATTCACTTACATTCTCATTTTTGTATTAATCTTTTGTTAAATCCTCACGTTTTATTTTTCATTCGTAATGTAACAGTACTCTGTAATATACATATAATTTCTTTCTAAATCTATAGAAAGATTTACCATAGAATCAAAATAAAACACATCTTATTGTTAATATCGTGAATATTGTTACGCATATTGGTTTCCTGCCTTCCCAACATATATATGTATATATAGCACGTTCATTTAAGTTTAACGCCGCGGTAAAGTATACATCTACAGCGGGTATATCGCGTCGACTGACAAGAGATGAAGGCGTCGCGGTGATAAACGCGTACGTGCATCATTCTGTTTTTCAGTATGCTTGTGTCGATCGTAGGCGACGGATGTACGGATTGTCGTGCACGCGTTCTTCTGAGCTCCGCGAGTGCTCCGGAACTTTTAATAACGAGCGACGGAAATCGAAACACGTTGTTAGATGAATGAATTTTGCTTTACAAAATAACTTATTTTTATTAATCTTGAAGTAAATGAATTTTAACGCATTTCAATTGTCGAAATTTATAAACAGTGAAGTTTACAGGCTACCTGTGTGAAATGAGAGGCGTTGAATTATAGTGGGCCAAAGTGTAATTTAAATTGATAAAATAATATGTTAATTACGATATAAAAATTCTCACAGTTGTGTTCGGAAGTTAAATTGTGAAGCAGGAATTACTCTAAGGATGAAGTATGTTCTTTTTTAAATATTAATAAAACATTGATAATAAATATTTTATATATATTTATCGGTAAAATTCTAAAACTTCCAAATAACATCAAATTAATTTAGGAATCCGCGTAATTAATTAATAATAAAATCAATGATGAAATCTTTACTGAAATTACAAACTGCTAAGGAAGAAGATATGCGAATTTAGTAAAAAAGATCATTAATGGGAAAAATTAAAAATATTACTTTTAAATAAATAATTGTAAAAATTTACTTTACAATTATTTATTTAAGAGTAATATTTTTATTTTTTTCCATTAATGATTTTTTTACTAAATATTATCGCATATGTTCTTCCTGTTTGTAATTTCAGTAAAGATTCCATTATTGATTTTATTAATCAATTACGCGGTTTCCTAAATCAATCTGATGTAATTTGCTTAGCACTGCTCGATAAATTTTATTGCTCTCATGTGACACTCATTCAACAAAACTCATGTATCGTGTAAATATAGATCTTCAAACAATAAAAAGTAATCTGGTTAAATTAGACAGAATTCTATCCGATACAAGTGAGAATCAAATTTGATTATCAATTTAATCTCAAATATTAATATCAAAATGTCAATCGAATGTATATTTTGTTGTCAAAAATTTATCGAATCTTTATAAAGATTGACACATCTGAGAGTTTCTTCTGGATTGAAAGGTTTTGGACTCAAAAAATCAAAAGGTTTCCTCTCGATTCTTCTGATTTTGAAATAAAACATAATCTGCTCGTTGTATCTACTCTTGCCGCAGGACAAGAGTGCGGAAAAATGACGGGGCTCAGAGACAAAAAGAGCGAGGATAGAGGAGGTCCTCTTGTAGTTCTCTGTCTTTAGGGGAGGGGGGGGACTCACCGAACAGGTTTTAAAACGGGACAGGACCGGTGTATGATATTTGACGTCTCCGTACGTCGTAAATCTTTAAAAATATACAATTAGGCGAACCGCCGCGTCTATTCCGCGAATGCGGAAAGCTCCTCTCTCTCACGGATTTCTTTCAGCGTTCGATATTTTTCTCACGGGTAAACCGATCATTTGGACAGAATTCTTATCCTTTTTCGCGTTGTATGTCACATCGTTAGAAGTAGAGGGACTCAAGTATATCTCGATTGTCTTCTATCTGATTGCGAGTCCAATTGGCTGAATACGATAAATATACGATTAGCATCCTTTGCGGTGATTCAAGTGTTCATCCATACAAGCGCGCTGTAACGTATTAATAACAAGTAAAGGTCTTTAAAAGATCTTACGCATTGTCAATTGACCATAATAAAACTCTAATAATTATAGAATATTGCAGGATAGGAAAGCTATTTTATGAAAGCAATTCGTTACCATTATCGTTCTTTCTTTTTCTGAAAAATAACTCGTTATTATTGCTCATTACTGATAAAAAAATAACGATATAACTAATCTCATTACTGATAAAAAGGTAAAGATATAACTAATCATTATATTTTCTGTAATTTTTTCACCGAATTTTTTATGAATTGTCTATGTGGCTATAATTGAATTAATTTAACCAATTAAATCTACAATGCTTACAGTTAATCGCAACATGGTCAAACATAACATTCTCCTCTTTTAAAATTCGCTTATGCACGTTCCACATATTGTGAAGTGAATTACACTAATTGTAAGTTTCAGATTTAATTTAGTTGAATTAATTTGATGGTCACGAACGCATTATTTCTTTTGTAGATGTATTAAGGGAAATATTAGAGATATTAAATATTGAATTTATAATGTCAAGCTCGTGTTTGAAAAACAAATATAAAAAATGTGACTCGGCCAAGGAACGAACGAGACACAATGTGATAAAATCAAGTAATTAATGTTAATAAAAAATAATTTAATGTCAAATCAAAAATAAATAAGACGTTTTCGACTGTACAGAATCTTCTTCAATTAAAGAATAAAAGTTGTCATAGAATTAAAATTTTGGTAAATTAATAAACGAACCATGTATAAAAAAGAAAAAGCATAATTCTGACAAATAATAATTAAAACCAGAAAAAGATATAAAAGCCTAAAACACTACATGAAAATAAATCGCATAGAGTATCATCGCAATAAATGGATCGCATACATACTTTCGACGCTGTAAAATCGTTGTATGTTGTATAACATTTTTTATTTAATAAGCTGACGATTTCGACTGATGAACCTCAAAATTAAAATTTCTCCGTTAAGCATTCTTATTTCTGTTTTTTCTGTATCTTTCTCATATATTAGCGATCATTATATCGAAAGGCGGTTTGTAATCAAGACTATTTTTTGGAAAAATCTTCGATGATTGTTCGACGGTACAGTTTAATAATGAATCTACAGTCACAGGTATTACAAGTCTATTTGTCGAGACCTTCATCTCGACCGTCTTGTATTGTTTGTGCCAACATTTAATATCTTTAATATTTCCCTCAGTATATGCGCGTTTATGTTTCCCTTCCGGGGGAAGGTTATCACGAGCGAGGAAGGAAATACGAACGGTAGCGAAATTCCGCGCAGTCAATAGTCGACGAACAGGTCAAGTGTAAAGATTGTGAGTATCATACTGTATAGAGAATTGGCGGTAGATAAAAAAGAAAGAGTGAGAGAGAGAGAGAGAGAGAGAGAAGAATGCGTGTAAAAGTGATAATGAAGCGTCAAGGCTGCTTATTCGATAGCCAGTTCGCTCACTGGGACTATCGCGTAATAATTTTCCCTTCAATTCCCCAGTTAAGCCGGATTTTCGACGGCTGATTGGCGAGTGGATTCTTTCATGCGTTAAATTCGAGAATCCGAGATCTGCAACAGCATGCGAGCCAGTAACTGAATAAGGCACGTTGCGTGCGTTTCCTCTTATAAAGTGCTCATATATTGCACTCCTTAGTGCTGAGTTTGAGGAAATAGAAGTTGAACTTATGGCCGGAGCGATTTAGAAGGATATCAATGCCATAATGATCTCTCTCTCTCTCTCTCTCTCTCTCTCTCTCTCTCTCTCTCTCGTGTACACCTGTTTGTCCTGTACTAAAATTCGCCCTAATGTTTGTGCTGAAATAAGTAGTATAATAATGGAACTTCACACCTACCTCGGTTTCTTTGATGCAACTTTCAATATGTATTGTAACGTGTATAAAAGTAACGATTATATTCCGTTACCCAAAAAATGTAACTACGTACCTACTACTAATAATATTATAAATAAAGAAACAATATCGTTACCGATTCGTTACCCATTACTGAAAAAAATAATTGTAAGTGTAACGTCAACTAACGTATTACTTCCCAGTCTTGAAATATTGTTTAGTTAAATCAGGTAAGGTTCTCTCTCTTTTTTTCTTGAAGCTGTAACCGCCATATTTCTTTTTAGGACACACACACATATTACACACACATATAACATAAATTCGCAGTATATTAAAAGAGCGAGCACATCTAAATTTAAATGCATAAACGTACATGAATGTAAGATGCAATCTTCGATAAAAGAAAATGAATTCTTTACAGATAGAAACGTTGATGAATTAAAGAGCAAAGAATTCACACGTAACTCTTACGGGAGGATCGTTTCCTGAAGTATCGTAAAATCGATACGAGGATGAATTGTCCTCTCCATACGTCGTTCGATCAAATCGCGAAGAAGCATACGAACGTAAATCATAATTCGCGTCGAACTTACACGGACGAAGCGCAGTAATTCTCTCGCCGAGAATCGTTTGATTTCCGCGATGACATCCATACTGTCCGGGCAAGAGAGCAGCGCGACGATGAAGCAAAAGTTAATAAGGGACGCGCCTGCGAAGAAGACCAGGTCCTTCCTGGACTTCTCGCGGGAGAACCTGAGCGTCTCGCAGCCCGACCTCGAGCAAGGATTCAACCGACCGCGGCTCGTAAAACCGAGCAGGAGCACGATCCTGAGCGCGGCCGCCCTCGTGGCCGCCATTCTCTGCCTCGGCCTTCAGAGCTGGAAGCTACTGTTGAATACCCGCGAAATCGAGCAGCTGAGAATAGAGATCAACATCCTGCAGAATCAATTTCTGAAGCTGGAACCTGGGCTAAATGAACTGGACTTAATGGACAAGACCTTAGAGGAACAGGTAGGTTCCTTCCTTCATTAAATGAGCGAATTGACTGCGCTTGACTGCTGAATCTTTTCCCTTTCATTATTCGAGAAGAAAAAAAAAGAAATGACGTTTGTTTTTATCCTATTTGCGATTATAAACACAGATTATAATTACAATGTAGCAGCAACATTCTAATATTTTTGCAATATAGCTGGAATGTTACAATGTTGCTGCAACGTTGCAGTTATAAATAAACTGTGTTTGCTCAGTAGTAAACATTGTCTATCATCAATGCATCGCGTGACGCCGGCATAAGAAAATATCAGAAAAAACACAAAGATAATAATGCCATCATCAAGTCAAATAATATCATAAGAACTTACAGGTGACAAATAAAATAGTAATGACGTCATTAATGATATTATTTGATATCATTTTTTCTATGTTCTACCTGCACAATAAATAGACCATTGATCTCTTCATACATTAATTGAATCTTCACGTAGTCGCATAACGTACGCGTAAACTTATCTCTTCGCGCGCGACCTTCATCGCTATATCCGTTCCCCACGATAACCTTGTTTCTTCAAAATCAGAAGAAAATAAACAAGAGTGCTGAATTTCTACTTTCCACTGTAAAAGAGCGGTGGCTTTCGCATTCGCGAATAAAATATAACTACAATGCGTCCCGATTTATTTTAATTTTAATGACAGAACTGTTGATCAAGTTGTTTTTTTTAAATTGACAAAGAAACAGAACAAAATGAGGCAATTAATAAGCTTTGTTTGAGACAATCCTTGCCGCTCGATCCTGGTGAAAACGCATTGAAATATAATAGAAGTATACGAACAAAGGAGAAAGCGCAACAGGTTTATTGGTCAATTCTTTCTTAACTGAAGCTGTAACGGAAAGAAGATGAAATTGTGGTTGTATTCATTAGCTCAAGTGAAAACGCGTCAATATTTAATTAGCACTGTGGAATGAATAAAGCTCTCTATTTATCTGAAGTCATTTGGTATATTGAATTTATGATTCTCATTAGGATAATCTTATCCATGATTGAAATCATAAATCATAGTATTTTTTCAGATAAACAGTATCTTAAAGACACATATATTTCTTTTCCCGAAAATATGTACAAACAAGAGCTGTGTTCACCTTCGGGATAAATACCTTTTATAATGTTTTCAAAAATAGTGTTGCCAAATTCTATAATATCAAATTTTTATGCAAAAATTTTGAGAAAATCTATATTCTTTTTTTTTTAATTCTTTATATGAATTCTAAATATTATCTAAATTATATTAATTTTTACGTAAATTCTAAAATTTTTCTATAATTTCCAAAAAAAACTTATAAAATCTGAAGAAATTTAAGATATTTTCTTAGAAAGCTTCATAAATTTCAAATATGAAAAATTCTTAAAAATATTATAACATAAGAATTGTTTTCATTAAAATAAATAGAATTAGACGTAGGAATAAAGAAGACACAAATTTCTTAATTATTTTCTCTATAATTATCATTTTAGTAATAACTCATTTATAAATTACTCGATTTAACTAGCGCGCCGATGATAAATTAAGTTTAGTTGGTTTATCAGACGTTTCGAGAGTATAAATATATAATTAAAATATTAAAGATATAGAACAATTTGCAGAGTTGAAATTGTTTCAGTTAATTTCAACAGAATTTTTATCTTCACCGGAATTTCCCATTACACAGAGCATTGCTCGTGCCATTTTTAGAAGCAATTATTTTAATTGTTGTACAAAAGGAAATTATACCACAATTGCCTCTTACTGATGCATTTCCTCGTATCGGATGTTCGTCACTACCGTTGACAATACCGATTTAATTACATGATCACATAATTGCTCGATAGAAGATTTTATGCATATACAGACTAAACCGCGCAATTTCTACAAAATAAATATTTTACATGCGAATGCACTACACATTGTAGCTGAACGAGTCTACCGAGATTAATGAACCGGACATTTACAACGCCGACTACGACTCTAATTACGACGACGATGGTTCCGCGTCGCACGACTATTCCGACCGCGTTTACATTCCCTTCAGTCCCGTCACCTACGGCCGCGGCAGGTCATTGGATTTCCATGACGTTACGTCCACGTCGGTACCGATACCCACGTCCCCGGATCCCGGCGCCAATAAAGATATGGTCGAGTTGCTTGCAGCCTTGCGGAAGGTCGAAGCCAAGCACGGGCAGGACTTCGAGAGGAACGTACGAGAGAATCACAAGTGAGGCGCTAGCAATGTGCAATAATACTTTGTAACACAATAAATTGAAAAAGCGAAGAAGAAAACGAGCAGATTTGCAGTTTCTGATGCTCAGAATTCGCGATTTCTTAGAAAAAAGATCCGATTAACTATTAACTATTAACATGTTGACTGCCATAGTAATCACTGGTACTGTGATTGGCGCTTGACTTTAGTGACGTTCTAATAGTTATCGGAAAGTATCGAAATTTTTTAAGACGCTTGTAAAAAGCCAATATTTAATAAAAAATTTTAAATCACATAAATGGCCAGTATAACATAACGTAAAGTAAAACGTGCACAATTCAATCCATAAAAAAATATAATCTTATTTAATCATGTTATAGAGTATTTTATAATATTATTAATATTATAATAATGAAAATTCTACTGTAGCGTACACGATAAGATGTACTTAATCATAAACGTGTCATAAATTCTGATGCACCAAGCAACATGAATTTATTTTATAACTGAAATAAAAAGCAGCATGGAATGTTTACTTGTTTTTACTGAATTGGCAATATAACTGAAATAAAAAGCAGCATGAAATGTTTACTTGTTTTTACTGAATTGGCAATTATAATATAAAACTAATCACAACTATTAAAAATGTCCATCTTTTAACTTTAAATATCTTCAAACGATTAAATCTTCAAATCTTATTTAATTATATTATATAATATTTTATAATATTATTAATATTATAATGATGAAAATTCTACTGTAGCGTGTACAAAAAGATGTACTTAATTATAACGTGTCATAAATTTTAATTCTTTCACATGCAAAACCTCAATGAACTGCATCTTCAAATCAATTTTTAGTGCCTCGATATTTCGATAAATTTAAAATAAGTCTTTCTAAAATTTAAACAAAAAGATTTATTCTAAAAGCTTCATCGAAATATCGAAGTTCTGAAGGCTGATCTATAAAGGCAACAACATTGACGTGCTGCGAGATCAACTGAAGCCGGAAGAAATTTGTGAAGTCAAAAAGTGGAAATTTTAAATTAAAATTATAATTGATTTTATATTGCAATTGACCAATTTAATAAAATGAAATTTGTTTTACATTGATTTTTATTTTAACTACAAATAAATAGAAATAAATTCATTTTGTCTTATTGTTAGCAACAAAATTTATGGCGCAACTATGTCTGAAACTCACTGGATAGACAATGTATTAATTATTAACTTTGAATTGTGTTTATTGCATGTAGAAATATCGAGCGGGAGCATTTTAAAGAGGGACACGAGAACCAATCAAGTCACGAGGAGAAGACGAGTGACGCAAGTAGCACAAGATACAAACTCGATGCTACTACTGCCAGCAAACTTACAAGTTCAGGACACATCAAAGAGAGTATTAAATCAAAGCGATCCATAAACAATTTGACTGATGACCTTGCGAGAGATACAGCGAATAGCAAACGACGTAATACTAGAAGAATTATGATGAGAACGCGTTCTTATGTAAGCGAAAGCGACGCGAATGACAATTCTGGGACAAATCCAACATCGTAAGTATTTACATAGTGCATAAATTTTTTTAAAACCAAATTATATAAAATAAAGAGCACAGAAAAATATATATTTAAAACATTTTTTAAATTTAAAATTAGATTCTTTACAATCAATATACCGCTCTACTATTGTTTTTTAATTTTTATATCGTCGTGATTATTCCCATTTTATAATCGTTTTCAATTGGTTATAGCCATCATAATGGCTTTAAATTTCTGGAATATTTGGAAATCTGAAATATTTGGAATACCGAATCTTTAATTGGTCTTTGAAATGCAATTTCAATTTTCAAAAACAAAAAATAGTCAAAGGAAAAGGAAATAGTGAAAAGGAGAAAGATAATACAGAGAGAGAGAAAGAGAAGTTAGAGATGAATAGGGTGGGTGAGATGTAAAATCAAATATTTTTTTTTAGTTATTTGATGATATTCCAGAAATTGAATTGCCGCTGTGTCAACACCGACTAATTAAAAACAAACTCAATGACGAAAGATTGAAAGTGAGAACAAAGCGATTGTAAAGGATATTATTTAAAAAATATTTAAAATATTTTTCTAATGTATTTATTCTTTATTTTATATAATTTCGGTCTCAATATGTATATTGATCGCACTGTGTACATTAACCGGATAAAAAGTGAGTAATCTTGCGTTCAAACTCCAGTAAAGTATTTTTGATAATTGAGGAAATTTTAACAGAAATGTTGCATAAATTGAATTCTAAAAATCCTCTAATGAATTTCGTTCAATCTTAATAAGCTTACTTCCTAGATACTTTTAATTTTTAAATTGATTTCCTAGAAGTGTATGACAATCGTCAAGATTACATTAAATTAGATCAATTAAATCTTCAAAAAGGAAAGAAAGAAAGAAATAGAGAGAGAGAGAGAGAGAGAGAGAGACCGATATGATACAAAGTAAATAAATTTGACATTTTTGGTCAAATTTATTTATTTGTTAAATCGATTGTTTTCTCTGAGATAGACATCCACCGAAGAAGTATCACGCCCATACGCCGGAGACAATTCCCCCGGCGCGCCATGACCGATTAAGAGAGGAGACTACTCTGCAGCCCGACAGACATGGAAGCACGGAAATTGCAAGCGACAGAACTGACAGAAGGATCAAATGGCGAAATCGTGACGTCTCGGGAAACAGAACTGATATTCGACGACCCGTTCAGGTGGGTATAGTTTCAAGGGCGTTCAGAAAGGAGCGGAGGCAAGAGGGGACATTTGCTCGTGCCCTGCACCCCCTCCCCCCTTGGAATCGAGACGAGTACAAAAAATTCAGAATTTGCTCTCCCATTTTTACAAAAACAAATATGTTTGTTAAATGTGAGAGAGCTAAAGAGTACACAACCTTCGGACATTTGCTCCTCGCGGTAGTTATCGTACTAAAAATTTGGATATGCCCCCCCCCTCTAGAAAAAATCCTGCACGGAAAGAATGATTTTGTTGAAAGTCTAAAAATTTTGCTAAATATAGATCTAAAAGTAATTTTTTGTTGAATCATCAAAATAATTTGTTGGAATGTTAAAACATTGATAAATATTGCTATAAAACGTTTTGATATTCTAGCAAGTATTTTGATTTTCGCACAAAATTATTTTGATTATTAAACAAAAATTATTTTCAAATCTGGATTCAGCAAAATTGTTCTTTCCGTGTGCGGATGCCCTTGTATATAGTTGCTAGGGGGTTGCGCCGCGTATAGTAGATAAAATCCGTGCATTAAGTTCCTCACAGGTAGGTGAATGAACAACACAGAGCGTTGTGATTGAATTAGAACCACGAAGTGGCTATCAAGGGGGTCTCGTCGGAGATTGACTCAAAAACATTTGCGTTCACCACGGCAGGTTTACGCGATCCACTACGAGGCGGACAGCACCCTTTTCTCGATACAGGACGATTACACCGGTAACGGCAGAGCGCGGCACGACAACGGCGTCTTCAGGGCGTGGCAGCCGAGCGAGTGGGTGACCGATCTTGGTATGAACCGGCACTTCACGCTCGCGGGCGACGGCAAGCTCACCGTGCACGAGTCGGGATTGTATCTGGTGTACGCGCAGATCCACTACCTGGACGAGCACGACGAGAGTGGCTTCCACGTGTTAGTGAACGGCAGGCCTTTACTGCAGTGCACGGTAAGAATTGGAGAAATAGAATACTTTGTGAGGGAGGCATTTTAATAGAATAAAACTTAGTATACATACACAATGTTGCTGAAGTATTTAAAAATTTAGCTAGATACAGATCTGAAAATAATTACGTTGAACCATCAAAATAATTGCATTAGACGCTCAAGCTAGTTGCTAAAATGTCGAAACTTTTTGCAACGTTATTATATATCATGTTTGAGCACTTTACATAATTATTTCGATGGCCCAACGTAATTATTTTCAGATCTGGTAATTATTTTCAAATCGGTATCTATATAGTTAAGTTTTTAAATACTTCAGCAAAACCTTTCTTTTTATCACCAATGCCGTACTAAACAAGACATTATTTAATGATAAAGTGACTCGAGTATGCGTGATCAGCTGAAATATAAACAAATGTATGGAAATACAGAATAACAAATACAATTTTCAGGCGTACAGTCCAGGTACGGGACATAAGAGTCACTCGTGTTTCTCAGCCCAAGTGACCATTCTCCATGCAGGCGATCACCTAGTCCTGAAAGATATATCAGCGAGATATACCCTTTTCCAGTATGACAAAAGTTTCTTCGGCTTGGTAAAAGTTGGTGAATTGAGACAGCAGCAGAGACATCCGCCGACACATTAGTAATTGTAACGCTGTAGAATTATCAACGCTGAATAAAAGTGATACGCGATTTGTAGTCAAAAACTTTATTCTTTAAAAGTTAGCTATAAACTCGTACAATTTGTATCTAATGTAAAATAATATACTTTTAACTTACGAGTCACACTATTTCTTCGTAATTCCGTTTTGTAGATGCATGATCTTGCATGATTTTTATCGTAATTAAGCTTTTTATATTTTACAATTAATTTTTATATTTTAAAATTATCACTTTGTGTTATATATTATTTGTGTTTAGATAAAAAATTACTATAAATAGTTCAATTCTTTATAAAAAATACTATATATGTATAAACAGATTATATGTATAAAATAATTATACATATTATATGTATATGTATGAAATGTTTATGTAAGAAAAAAATAAAAATATCCTTTTATTTAACATACAGTGTGACATATTTGATATGACATGAGTGTCCCAAAATTATCGGATATCCTTCAACTGACAAATTATGTAAAACATTCTAAAACAAAAATGTTTATACAAAAATGTTAATTGAGCTACGTTATGTTTTTAAATGGAAAGCATTTAAAATTGATCAATCAGTTTATGTCGCTTTCAGGTACATACAATACATTACACAATAATAAAGGTGCCCTTGTACATTGATTTAAGTATTAACAAGTTCTAAATGATGTGATTAATTGCAACGTAATTAAATATGAAATGCTCCTAAAACTGCCGCTAAAACTGGCGCTGGAGTTGGCTTTGAAACTGGTGCTGGAGTTGAAAATGAAACTTAAGCTGCAAAATTCTTTTTTTATCTTTAGTTTAAATTTATTTAGTTCAAAAAGAGTTACAAATTTTCCAAAATTGATACGCAATAAAACATTTTGTGGCAAATGAGATCTTATTCAACGCCTAAAAAACTACGAGAAATTATTATTCTCATATATTCTTTTGCTAAAAAAAAGTCATTTTTTTAACAGTAGAATTAAAGAGTTTATTTCTTTAATTATCGTTTTTACTCTATATTTACGATTTTTAATAAATCGTTCTTCAATCTATATTTAAGGAAAAATGATTATGTATTACAAAAATTTTAAAATCTCATTATAAAATAATAAACAGATATTCAATGCAAAAGTACTTGATGCTCGAAGTATCTACTAAAGCTTAAAGTATTTTACAATTATGTATCTTAGAATGTTTTACAGAATCTGTCAGTGTAAGAACATTCGGTAATTTTGGGACCCCCTGTGTATAAAATAAAATTGTTATAAATTATACCAGTCAATTTCAAAATCTTTTTGTAATTCTTTTATTAAAATATTACTATAAGATTTATTAAAATTAAGATATTTTATTAAATTCTTGAAAGACTAATAATACATCAGTTTTCAATAGTAACATGTTTTGCTATTAGTTATCTTTTTAATACAATATAACTTTGAACGAGGACTTCCAATTGGGATTAAGTCTCCCGGTGTATCCATCAAATCAACGATAAAATTCGGTTTCAAAAGTTTGATCGGGTAGATCACTGATCGACAATCTGAGAGAAATTTTTTCTTTCTCTCATGTCCATTCGGATATGTAAGGACAATTGTTGATTTGTCTAGTAATTCGGTCGTAACTCTTTCTTGATAATATTCATTATTTTTATCCAAAACATCGTTAAATAATCCTCCTTCGTTCGAGGCTTCCATCTGCAAGACACGCAATGGTTCTCAATGACATAATTTATTTTAAAAAAAATACGCGTGTAACACATATGTTACTTGGGGTATAGCTATTTCAATCCACGAGACACCGTATTCCCCACGTACGAGAGCTGCTGGAAGGCATATTCTATCGGCTATCGCTTTGAAGAGCAAAGCTCGCTCGAGATAAGAGCCTACACGAAGTTGCCCGAGCGGAATCACGCTCGTTTCCAAGCATTCTTTGATCCGCTTCAAATGAACTTCAAGCTGCCGGTCGAAGCATCCAGGTACCGTCGAATCCACACCAGACATTTGGCGCGCCACGAATCGAGCTAACATCTTTGCACGCGAAGGAACGTACTGAACATTCATCGATCCAATATCTGTATTTCTTACACTTAAACTGTAATATGTACGAATTTGTTTGCATAAGTAATAAATAAGATATAGGAATCATTTTAAATCAGACTTTTGGAAGCTCCACTAACACTTTCGATTCTGTTGCTGAAAGCATACGTTTAAAGAGTTCCACATATTCGACGAAATCTGGATCGCATTGCAACTGACCAAACTTTAATTCGAGCCATGCATTTATGTCTTCTGCAAACAGAGATATAATTTCTAAAGTAACGTCCTTTTTTTAGTAGCTTTTTTCATTATTGATACAAACTACAAAATCTTATTACTTTTGAGAACTGTCTTGCTTTGTAAAGTGCTTGACGTTGGTAATCGCATGCAGTTTACTACATAAATGGGCTTTAACGGACAAAATTTAAATCGGAAGATATCATCTAACACCGGAAAACTAAACAAAATAATTATGGAAACAATACAAATAGTGATAAAATAATTTCAACTAACAATAAGTTGAAGTGAATAAACAACAGTTTTTACTACTGCACGGAAAGAACGGTTCTGCTGAAGTATTTAAAAATTAAGCTAGATACAGATTTAAAAGCAGTTATGTTGAACTATCTAAATAATTATATTGGATGCTCACATTGGGTACTAAATTAAGATTTATCACCATAACTACTAATACTACATGATTATTTTGATATAGTCCAACGTAATTACTATTCAACTTGTATTTGCTTAAATTTTTATATTTCCCAAATTTATTTTTATATTTCATATTTTAATAATTTTATTTTAAATTAATATGTTTAAATTATTATATTTTAAGAATTTGATATTTTAGTAAAATCCTGATAGAAAACATTCTCATTACATCCTATAACTTCTAAGATTTTTTTTATTTATGAAAATTTCGGAAACAATATTTTAAATCTCTTTACATCTTATAAATTTTCTTTGAAAATTAGAATAAAAAATCTTAGAAATATTTTAAATATTTAAAAATTTACATGTATAAAGAATTCTAAAAAAAAAATGTAGATCTTCTTGGCACTTCTGCCAAGAAAAGTATACCAATTTCGTACAAAAAATCTGAAAAAAGTTAAGCTACAAAAATTCTGAAAAATTATGAGAACTCAAAAATTTTTTTTTATCAGAATATTCTTTCCGTGTACTGTAGTGAAATTTACATACGAGCATACGGTAATTTTTGAGACATAAAATCCATCCTGCGTAAGATCGCGTACAGACAAGCGTCCTGTAAGAGCGAATTTGATCGGTAAATTCGATTTAAGAAGAATCTCAACGCAAGTGTCCCATAAAGGAATCGCTCTTGAACATGAACGATTATTCAACATGCTGCGGAATGTAATTAAATGAGAACTCAATATAATAATTTCAATTATATTTCGGAATTTTACATCACATCTTCTCATAATAAAGACTTTGCAGATATATTTTCCAAAAATGTATATAAAGTTGCAAGAGAAAGCTTCAAACTTACTATGAGAGATACTTGTTTTCTACGAAGGCCTTCGCTACACTTAAATCTGTAGAAATTGCTTGTACGAATTGCAACGTAGCGTTTCTTATTGAAATTGGATGAGAATCAGTGATAAGAGAAAATATTCTTTGAGGTCCATTTGCTTTGAGAAAATAATGTCTTCCATTCTCTTCTAAGCATAGTGCAGAAAATAACTTGCAACAAGCGATTTTAAATTCGTCGATGAACGGATAGGTTGACTAAAAATTCAATATTTCTTAATGCAGTATTAATATTTTTCTATACGATTAATTCTAAATGCTATAAATGTCATAATTATGAATGATCAATGTTTTAACAATACCGTATTGGTGTACAAATAATTGCAATTATAATTGCATTTAATAAAATTTGTTAAAATATTTAATATTTATTGATATTTAAAATATTTGAATAATAAATCTAATATCTTTTTTAATTTTTTATAAATATAAAAAATTCTTGTTCTGAAATATAAGACATTTTTATTTCAAAGTTGTTTAAAATATAACCTTTAGTTGCACTTTTAAACAATTAGCCGAAATCAACATGGCATTCAACATAAAAGTATCACAAGAGATGAGCTCTTATTTATTTAGCTAATATTTATTTTACCTCTAAAAGCGAGCAAATTGTATTAATAGAGTTAAAGTTAATCAAGATATCTCTGAGAGTTGGATGTCGTGCTATGGTAAGAAGAGCTTCTAGAGCAATAATACAAGTTTCTACAGAAACTTGTTTTGTAAAGTGTTTTAACAACTGCCACAGGTAATCCTTAAAAAACAAAGTCATTATTATCTGCATTCATTGATATAAAGTACATTGAGCATTGTTCTTTACGTAAAATAAATAAAAAAAGATTAACGATATTTTCGAAATATTTTACTTAATTCGTCACATAATTCCCACGTTATGCTTTATTTAGAAGCTACTCAAAATAAGTATGTATTAATAAATGAAGAACGTAAATTTATAATATAAAATAATTACTGGTCCATGAATATTCAAGAAAACATCGCAATTTTTAATATCGCTCATCAATAACCGTTTGATCGCAAAACTTGCGGCGTGTCTTGTGGACCACTGCAAGTCCTCTTTTTTCAAAATATCTAAAACAGTATCACTTTTCCTATTTCCTTCCTTGTACGTAAAAAATTCTTATCTAAGTTATTTATTTATATGTAATATAGTGAAGCGATTTCTTATCCCCCGTTGTGCATATTTTCGGAAAAGGTATAAAAAATGATGAATTTTGGTTACAAGCGGAAATTTTTTAATGATATTCATCGTGGCTGCTTGGGCCAATGAATATCATTAAAAATTTTCCGCTTGTAACCAAAATTTATCATTTTTTATGCCTTTTCCGAAAATACATGCACAACAGGGGGTAATAAATCGCTCCATCTTAATATGTAACCTAAAATAGTTTTAATAGAATCCGTGCTAGCGAATTCTTTTGCAGCATGACTATTAAGCGTCATTTCCCCAATTCCATAACAAGCAACTTCAACAATGTCAATGTGCATCGATTGTTGCAAAGCGTTTAGCAAACATTCGATAATCCCGTAGGAATGTAAAACCTATTACAACAATAATTATAATTATAAATTGTGTATAGTAGTTTAATATTTTAATTGATAAACTTTAAGAGAAATGTATACTTTTCTTCCGTTGGAAGTATTTGCAATATATACAACAATTCTGAGCGCTTCAGTAAAAAATCTCGGATTTTTTGCATACTTTATGTAGCTTACAATTTGCGAAATACTTCCGCTGTCAATAAGTTCATCCACGACAGCTAGATTTTCGACAGCAAAACGTAATACTTCTAGAGCTTTAATATGCGAATCATTGTACTCGTCATTCTGTACAACAATTAACATTAATAATTAAAGTTAAATAAACTTAAAATAATAACTTATATGTACAATAAATTTATTAATATACAGATAGGAAGGTCGCCGACCCCGTCAAATTGCTTTGTTTTTGAATTGTATTTCTTAAACAGTAGCTAAAAAGAAAATTTTGAAAACATATATAAAATTAAACTATAATATATAATAGTATCTTCTATCAAATAATGTAGCAGTTTTTTATAATACTGATTGTAATTATGTAATATTTAACATTTTTGTAAGATAAGCAAAAATAAGCCTTTAACAAAATACGCCCTTAAACAAAACAAAAAGAAATAAAAAAAAAGAAGAATATAAATAAAACAGTTTTAGTAAACTAACAAAAATGTAAAACTATCTAATATTAACAATAATACATGGTCTGTCCCAAAAGTAATAAGGCTAATTGTAAAAAAACGGTCTTATTAAAAATAAATCTAATATTTTTCAAAATAGGATCCTTGAGCGTCAATACAGCGATCTTATTAAAAACAAATCTAATATTTTTCAAAGTAAGATCCTTGAGCGTCAATACAGTGATTTCAGCGTTGCTGCCACTCTTCGTAGCAGCGCAGGAAGTTTTGATCGACCGGACATGCTTTCCAGATCACCTGCTTGAACCTTTTTAATCATCCCCAAACAGTGTCGAATACCGTTTTGGGACGATTAAAAAGGCCCAAGCAGCGACGATGAATGCTCTGAAAACCATGTCCGGTCAAAAGTCCTTCCTCAGTCCTTCCTGCGTTGCTCCAAAGGGTAGCAGCAATGCTGGAACCGCTGTATGACGATCCTACTTTAAAACAAGGTATCCTACTTTGAAAAATGTTAAGTTAATTTCAATAAAACGGTTTTTCCAGAATTAGTCTCATTACTTTTAAGATAGGCTATGTATATCCAATATTATATAAACTGTATTCTTTATAGCAAAAGAAAATCGTAAGTGTTATTTTCGCATTTGTAGAATTTTTGTTTTTATCTGATTTTATATAGAAACAAGTTGTTCACAAATATATACAATAAATTAGGTTTTTTACTTCTTTAATTATATCTAAACAAATCATGTTTTTGTTAGTATTATAGTAAAATATAATAAAATATTTAAAGTTTCCAAAAAATAAGTGGCTTCAGGAGACTTATTTCTTCGGTACCGGCGATTTTCCTTTAATAGTAATAATGAACGTAAAATAATTTATTAACAAAAAATATAATTGTTTATATAAAATATTTTGTACTTTCAAAAAATCTAGTAGCACTTTAACTCCGTTTGTTTCGTGAAATAGAGATTGTATTTCTTCATCTTTATTTCTACCAATTATATCCGCAATTACGTCCAGCGCGAGATATTGAATCTCTGGATACGATGATTCAAAGTGTTGATACAACAAAGGAAAACTAAATTTCTAAAAACATTGAAAATTCACGATCTCAAACTTTCTGTTGACACCACATTTCGAACGAAAATAGAAATCGGAGCGTAAGTTCAATTTACACTTCCCAAAAGTTTCATTTATGTTTCCGTCATTCTCCCCTTACATTCAACATGTACTCCGATTTTTATTTTCGCTAGGAACATACAACAAACCTCATTTTTCGAAATTTCACGCGCAGCTACGGGATCCTGCATTAAATTATGCAGAATCTCAAGACTATGTTTCTTTACATCCGGATCTGACGATTGTAATACTTCAAATAGGAAATTTACGTTCGAGCAATGTTTTGCTAGAAGAGCATTACCGTACGGATCTTCGGATAGCTTCGCGAGCATAGCAGAAAGGTATTCTTGCATAAAGGTATCTTTCTCGCTCATTAATAACTTTGTAAAATATTCTATACGATCGGATTCGATCAAATAATTTTTCACGTCTGGCACTGCTATCATTTCTGTCAACAATTTTCCAGCAAATCTGTATTGCAGCAGGTACATGAATAAATATTAATTACATTGAATATATTGAAAAAGAGCTTTTATAGCTTTTATATTACGTCTACGTTATTAACTAACTTGCAAAAGGTGTAAACTTTTTTAAAATTTTTCACAAAACTTTTTAGAATTTTTATATAAACTTATTTTTGTGCAAACAATTTCACAATTTATTATTTAAAACATTTCTTAAACTTTTTAATACAAATTGGAATATTATTTTAAAAATAAGAAAATCATCTTTTTCTAAAACATTTTATACATGTATATGAATTTTCAAATATTGTAAGATTTCTCATTCTGTAATTTCCAAAGAAAACTTGTAAAATCTAATCAAATTTAAAGTATTTTTTTTTAGAAATTCTCAGAAATTTAAAGTATGAAGAATTCTTAAAAGTTATGGAAATATAAAAATTTTATTCACTAGATTCGAGTTTTAGTATTATATAGTCTTTATAGTATATATATATATATATATATATATATATATATATATACACTATATTAGTTAATGTATAAACCATTAGTTAATTTATTTCTGCACAAACCTTCGAATATATATATCTTCATGCTCGATAATAGGAAGAATATTATTTACAATACCAAGATGAAAAAGAATCTTTGCATTGTCTTTTGATTTACTAGCATACTTCGACAAAGCCTCTACGGCTGCCAATAAAGTAGATTTATTTTCAGATTGTAATAACAATATCACTGTTTCCGCATCTTTAGCTTCAGAGATGAATAAATTAAATGGACTGTATTCCAAAGAGTTCTGTTCCTCTTTCATATTGTTTATCATCTTCTTACTTTTCAGACATTATTTTTATTTTCTTAATATAGAAATAATTGTTTTTATGTCGTAGATCTTTGTACAATAATAAGATTGTATAATTGCATAATTTCACTTTTTAAATCCGAAGTTAATAAACGATAAAAAAATATATTAGCCTTACCTTTAAATAGTGTTAATTGCAATGTATATTATGACATTATTTATAAACAATATTATAGTTACATTCTTCTGGCAATAAATAATAATTAAAATAACTTAATTAAAAAGACTATTAATATAAAAAGATATTTATTTTAATTTTAATACTTTTTGCTCGTATTTTTGGTTCCCTTTTGTAAGCCAATGTCAATTAATAGCGATCGATTCTCGAAATATCGACATCTAATAAAAGAATTGACTTTCTAGGGACTAAAACTATATTTGGATGTAACTTCTCTTTTACCTTTGTTTGTTTTAATCGGTCCACAATGAGGATTTTAAGTCTTACACCGTAAAATATTGACCATGCAATTACAATCGATTATTCTCCTTACATACATATATTCGACTACGATTGGTCTATTTCCTGTCTCTTATACACA